TACAACGCAATAAAATGGTGTTGTTGAAAGAAGAAATAGATCTCCATGCGAAGTAGCAAGAATTATGCTGGCATATGCGAATCTTTCACAGTATCATTGGGCTGAAGCTGTCTCCACTGCATGTTTTACTCAAAACAGATCTTTCATCCATCGTCGTTTTAATATCACTCCATATGAAATCATAAATAATAAAAAACCTAATGTAAAATTTTTCCATGTTTTCGGATGCAGGTGATTTATTATGAATATTAAGGACAACCTTTCGAAGTTTCAAGCAAAACCTGATAAATGGATTTTCCTTTGATATTCGCAGAATTCAGTCGCCTATCGTGTGTTGAACAAAGGAACACAAAAATTATATCAAACAAACTAAAAAGCATTTTCAAAATCATCCTATTTTAGAAGAAATACACGCAGAATATGAACATTCACAACCATTGGATATTTATTATGATTTGAGTTTTGGAATTTCAGATCATGCTGTTGATGATGAAGTTAAAGCCAATGATAATCATATCTTTGAATTAACGAAGCTCAATGATAGATCAACATTATATCCTCAAGCAATGGAGGAAAGTATGCATATTGATTCAGTGGAGGGGGAGCACTTGGATTCGAACACTCTTGATGAAGAAGGGCATTCTTTCTAGGGGGAGAATGAGAGACTGGATGCTGATGTTGAGGGGGAGCATCATATTGAGGGGGAGAATTATGAACAAAACGAAAATTTTCATGATGTTAATGATCAGTGTTTGAACAACAGGTTCAGAACATGATGATTTATACGAAGATGCACCTTTGCAATTTGATCCAACATATCCACCAACGGAAAAATAGACAAAAGATCATCCGAAGGAACAAATAATTAGGAATCCACAAGAAGGAGTCTTATCAAGAGCTCAAATTTGTGCATAGAATGAGGTATTAAATACTCATCAAGAATTTTTCATCTTCAATGTTTTTATCTCTAAGATCGAACAAAAGACAGTTAAGATTGCAATCGAACAGTCAGATTCGGTTGTTGCAATACACTCTGAGTTATCTGAATTTGAACGAAACAAGGTTTGGAGATTAATTCCAAAGCCAAATGATGTTTCAATTGTCGGGTTAAAATGGATTTTCAAAAATAAAACCAATAAAGATGGAAACATTCTCCACAACAAATCCAGGCTTGTTGTTAAAGGTTATTCTCAACAAGAATGAATAGATTACAAAGAAACTTTTGCCCCTGTCGCAAGACCCGAAGTTGTTCGTATATTTCTGGCTTATGCAGCTCACAAAGACTTTGATGTTTTTTAAATGGATGTGAAGTGTGCATTTTTAAACGCAGAGCTTGAAGCAACTATTTATGTAGAACAACCCCCAGGTTTTATTAACAAAGAACATCTTGATCATGTTTATATATTACATAAGGCAATTTATGGTTTAAAACAAGCACCACGAGCATGGTATGCAACACTTACTTTATTTTTAAAACAATCTAAATTTAAACAAGGATCAGTTGATCCCACATAATTTCGAAATAAAGTTGGGAATCATTTAATGTTTGTTCAAGTTTATGTTGATGATATAATTTTTGGCTCAACTGACGCTGCCTTGTCTAGTGAATTCGAAAATTTGATGCAAAACAAGTTTTAAATGAGCATGATGGGAAAAATCAATAATTTTCTTGGGTTGAATATTTGTCAAAACAGAGAAGGTATTTTTATCAATCAAGAAAAATATACAAAGAATCTGCTAGATAAGTTTGGATTGACGAATAACACGAAATTATGAGTTCCTATGGCAACTGGCATAAAGCTGACACCTTCGTTAGATAAACCTGCAGTGGACCTAACTCTTTACAGAAGCACGATTGGTTCATTACATTATCTTACTGCTAGTCGACCTGATATTATGTTTTCTGTGTGTAATTGTGCTAGGTATCAGTCAAATCCACGAGAACCCCATCTTACTACTGTGAAGAATATATTTCGTTATCTTAAGGGAACAATTTCGTTAGGATTGTGGTATCCTTCAAAAAGTGGGTACTTCGTTCAAGCATATTCAGATGTAGACTTCGGTGGTTGTAGTCTTGATAGAAACAACACAAGTGGTGGTTGTGAATTGGTTGATGGTAAATTGGTGAGCTGGCAGTCGAAGAAGAAAACATGTGTATCAATTTCAACTGTTGAAGCAAAATATGTGGTTGCTGCTGCCTGTACATCCCAAATAATTTGGATCCAAAGTCAATTGCGTCATTATGCAATTAATATGAAAAAGATTCCATTATATTGTGATTCTCAAAGTGCCATAAGAATTTGTCTCAATCCTGTGCAGCATTCGAAGACTAAACATATAGCTCTTCATTATCATTTCATCAAGGATCATGTGGAAGATGGGAATACTGAAGTTTATTTTGTGAAAACAACAAATTATTTAGCTGATATTTTCGCAAAACCATTTGATGAAAAGTCATTTGTAAGAATTTTGGAAGCACTTGGAATGATTGATGGAAACTCGGTTCCATGCGCAAAAGGAGAATGATGGTTAAAAAGGAATGGTTAAGAGGTACGAAATCAAAGAAAAAGGAATGTCATTCAGTATTCAAAGGTTACTATTCATAGTCAACTCTTCGAATCTTTCGAATTCGTACATTTATCATTTTTCAAGGATTGTTTAAATTTCGTATGTTTGCAACAAGTACATTTCAGTTTCTTATATTATTTTCGAAAATTGAAAATTTCCAAAAAGATTTTATTTTTTTTTGTTTACTCGAAAAATCAAAAATTCCAAAAAGATTTTATTTTTTTATTATTTTTGAAAAATAAAAGCTACCAAAAAGATTTTTTTTTATTTTGTTTTTTCAAAAATCCAAAAACAACAAAAGTATTTTGTTTCTCTTTTGTTTTTCGTATTTTTTTTTGCAGATTTACATACTGATTCATCTGGTGTAATGCTTGAAGTTCTAGGGTCAGGTATTTTTTCGAATACTTTGAACTAGTTAAGATGTCCCTAGAAGCATGTTGCAACCAGTTGACCAAAGCCTCTATTGACTCAATGTGTGTGTTCGAAAGCCTTAATGAAAATTTTCATATGAAGATTTCTTCCGAATATGGCTTGTATTCACACTAGTCTTCTGAGCTACCTAACTCTTTTCACATGAGTTAATAGTTTATTGTTTGGTCCAAAATAAAACAGAGGTACATTTCATGTCTTCTACCAATCTTTTTCATCTCAAAATTCTGACACAATCACACACGAAGACATATGTCCAAGTGGTATCTGATCAAACCAATCGAAACCTAGTCATATCAAAATTCTGTGTTTATGATCACACATCATGAGACCCTGATGAAAGTGAAACCAAAATCTCTCAACACTTAAATAATTGACGCGGAACTATGTTCCAGGTTATAACGAAACATTCGAAATCATATTCATTTCTTATGAGTGGTCTGGATCAAACATTCGAAACCCACGATGTTTGTTACCCAATAGGATCCAGTAGACAATTTTTCCTTGAATATGATTTCTATGTGAGTTTTATTCGAAATTCAAAGTCATTTAAATGTTTTCCAGAGAAAACTTGTCACTGACTACACTGGTCAAACAAGTAATTTCTGTTACATTTACTCACCGTATATTTAGGTTGATATGTAACGAAATTCATTAAGCGACCTAGTAAGTCTTTTAAAAAGAATCCCTTCGATACTTCTTTACAAGTATTCGATTGTAATTCACGGTAACATACACATGCTGTTGATCATCTCTCTTGATGATTAACAAAGCAACCTTTGCCTGGGGTTTTAATTGCCTTCGTGTTAAATTGAATTTTTCACATCACTAAATTCCAAAATTTTCTTTTTATTGCTACTTATCTACAATCATTGGAACACTGAACACACAAAATGCTTGAGGTTCTGAGTAACACCAACTCAGGCTGATGATTTCAAAAATCCGGTAAATGACTTTAGTTTAAAACCCAAAAGTAAACGAGCCTTACTTCCATGAGGGGTTCCAACGGCTACTATTCCATTGGAGGAAATAAACCAGCTTGTTTGAGGGGACGTTTTATATTCTGTCCGGGTTTTGAGGTGACGTGACAGTTACTTTATCACGCATGGTCACTTTATCATCGTCATAACGCGGGTTTCTAGGTGCCACATCACATTTCATTAAATGCACATCCTACTTTTATTTCAAAATCAAGGGTTACATATAAAAGGGGATTCAAGGGTTCATTATCAATTTACGCTTTCAAACACAATAATTTCCAAATACTCTCTGATAAACACCAAGCTTTCAAACCCTAACAATGGCGACTGCTGCTAATCCTAATGTTACTCTTTCTCACACCACTGGTGATGTTACTTCTTTACTGATTATGAAGATTCAGGGTACTAATTATCAAGTGGAGGCTACTGTTTCTCAATACCCTGAAGAACTCAAGATGCTAATCGTTGCATTGAAGAGTTCTGTTGTATCCAAAGTAGTCTTTAGTTCTTTTTCTATTCGACTTTCATGGATTTCTCAAGTTGGATCAACTGCTACGTATTCAAAAGCTTTTGATGTAGTTACTTTCAATCTCGTGAATGATAAAAAGGTCAGACTATCCAACAAGCTTTTCTGTTAGATTTTGGAAATCCCTAATTCCCCACCATATGTCAATTTTAACTTTCCTCAAATCGTTCATATGTTTAATGAAATGGGCCATCAACCTTAATTATCAAAGATCAGTGACTTCAAGAAGCCTGGTCTTCCTAGTGTTTGGAAGTCCTTATTTGGTATTTTCTTGAGGTGTTAAACTGGAAGAAAAGTTGGTCTTGACAAGGTTCGAATGGAGGTACATGCCATGGTTGCAGGGCTTTATTATGATCTACAAGTGGATTATTCTACTCAACTGTGGAAATAATTGTGTTGATCCAACGAATACAGTCTTAGTGACTTATTAGCAAACAATCGATACAACTGTTGAGATTGGGATTCTATTGGCAAGGGAGGAGACAAAGTCAAAACGTATGAAGAAGACTAAAACTGGTTCTTCTGATAAACCAGTCAAGGAGTCTAAGTCTATGAAGATTCCAAAGAAGCCACCAGTCACTGATGCAGAGCCAGTAACACACGAAGTTTTGGTTGTTGACACAACCTTAACTAAGCATGTTGGTCCAGAAACTCAAAAAGAAATTATTCCTTCGAAGACTGGTGTTTTTCGAAGAATCAAAATAAGGTCAAAGCACAAGAGCAGATCTCTACTCACTAACGTCATACGAAAGCCACATGTTCCTCATCAGGGCGTCCTATTTCATGAAATTCCAATGCCTGTTTCTCCATCATCAAAGAAACGAAGGGCTGGAGATATGGCTAAACATATTTCCAAGAAGAAGACGAAAAAAATAACAATGATCATCTCTTTTGAATTTATAGATGATGGAGATGAAAAAATTCTAGAAACTCCTGAACCCAATCTTCAGAAGATACTTCGATTCCTTCACAAACAGCTGTTATACCACTTGGAAATTCGGTTGCCAAGTCATTTTCTAAGGAGGAACGAACTTCTTAAATTCTTGTAAATGTATCTAATACGGATGCAAATGTCATCATGGGTGCGGATGATTTGAAAAAAGATGAATAAGGTAAACCTTTGAATGTTACCTCAGAAACTTTTGTTTCTTTTACTTCAAAAATTACACCTGCCATACCCATTACTTCCATCACAGATTCCCCTACCTTCAAAAATATCATCAAACATCCAATTACTTCTTTTTTCTCTTCTCAATCAACTGATCCACCCACAACCATTTCACTAATTCAAGAATTTATCTTTATGGAGACTGAGAATGAAGCTGAAGGTTTTGGAGGTACTTTTGAGAATCTGGTATTTGATGAAGACGAAGCTGATTTCCCAAATCATATGCTTATGATAATGAAGAAGTTTAAAATCTTGAATACAAAGATGAATTCTATTCTTCAATCACGAGTAGATCTTTTAGGAGGTAATTCTGTGTTGAGTTTAGAAGTTGATGGTTTATTAAAATTGTTAAAAGGAAGGATCACTTCGAAAGTTTCTAGCATGATCAAAGACTCCGAGTCTCGTGTTTTGGAGAAGGTTGATTTGTGTGATTACAACAATGAGCTGAAGGTAAATTCTCAGAAGTCAACATTTGAAGGAGATTTGAAGGAATTGCGAAAGGCGACCAAGGAACATCATGTAATGTTTATTCATGACGTCAAGATGGTTCGTGAAGATGTCAACTTCAAACTTCAAGAGCTTCTTGAAGATATCGACAAAGAGATTGCATGTTTTCGAACAGAATATGCTTCTCTAAATCATAAGGTTGACATCATCTGTGATGATGTGACGAAATTTGCTAAGTTGTATGAATGTTTGAGTCCTCAACTATCTCAACTATCTACAACTGAAAACAAAAATTTTATGGAGGTGATAACTATGTTAAAGGAGCTTAAAGCATTATCTATAAAGCCAGTCTCATCTTCTCAACTATCTTCGGATGTTCTGTTGCAAAAATGTTCTCAATTCAAAGATATACTTCTTAAACAGTTGGCTCCTATTTCTCACATATCTATCCTTCTTCCAATAACAGATGCCCCACCTGTTTTTACAGGGGTGCAAAGGGGAGAAAGGAAGGGTGAAGATTTGAAAGTTGGTAGCGATGATGCGAAGGTGGTGGGAAAGGTATTTTCTTCGAAGATCCCAACTACAAATCCAATCATAGCAACTACTGGTCTGATTACTTCGACAGTGGTAATGATTGTGTCAATTACAAGACCAATTTCGAAAGGTATTGTTATTGGTAAATCTGTTGATGTTGGTGGGAGTGATTCGAAAACAAAAGAAGTAATAGAATATTCAACATCGAAAGCCTGAGGAAAAACTATTTTGGTGGAGAAATCAAAGGAAGAAATGAAAGCTGAGGCTGAGGCTGAACTGGAGAGCATGAGATTGATACAAAGGATTATGACACAAAGAGCAGGTGATCCTCCAGGCATGGATAAAGGTGATCCATCAAAGCATTATAACTACGAAACAATCGAAGCAAAAGTTGCATTCAATCATATGTATTCATTCGAAAAGAAGCCAAAACAGAGCTACATAGTTACGAATACTGATGCAAGCCAATTGGATTTTCCAATCAATGAGATCATGTTCATCATGCCCCATTTCAAAGCCGACATCAAATTCAAAGAGAAGGATGAAGGAACACATATGAAGATCAAATTTCATGCAGTCATTGCTAAACCTGCTGAAGAGGTGTGGTCACTAAGAAAGATAAAGAAAGTGCTCAGTATAAAGAAGGATGTTGTTTTTGAAAACACAGTCCAAAATATGAAGTATGTGGTAGCCAGCGCAAATGAGAGTTTTTGTGATTTTACTATTGCTGATTTTCCACTGACGAACTTGCATGACCTTATACAAGTTGCATTGTTGTTGAAGGAAATATATTTTTCTTATCTTCAGAATACTGATCCAGATGAGTTCAAGCCTGGAGTTACTCACATCAAGATCTTCATCGAAAATTATTATGAATGCATGGCTTTGACTAATTTGGAGTTAGCTACTGCAAAAGGATTAAAAATAACAGCTCCAATGGCTCCTTTGAAGACTCAAGCAGATTTGAAAAAGTATGTTGATGGTGACATATGCTTGAAGCCCTTTGATTTAGTCTTCTCAAGAAAGGACAAGGCTGTAAAATCAAAACGATTTTTGTTCCAGGCCGGTGAGGTGAAAGATACTCGACTTCTTCATATACGAATTTAATTGTTCATATGGATCATTGTAAGAAGAATAATGAAGGATATAAGAAGGAGCTTAAGAAGATAATTTCTTGGTATACTAAGATATGAAGAGTGATGCTGTATTCCATCCAACTGGTTAGGAATTGAAGTCTTTTACTATGATTACAAAGGGGGAGATTGTAAGGGTTTTTTTTGTTGTAATTAGTCGAAGTATACTTTGTACTCTTTGTATGATTTGTAATCTGTTTTACTAGTGCATTTTTATATGAAGCTTAAGTGGTTATGCCTTAGTATATTTTTTGTACGCTTTATGTATCCTATAAATAGGATCATTTACTAGAGTTAGACAACTTTGATAGTCTTGTCTATTTTTCTCTGTAAAACTCAAAACCTAATAGAGTTGAAGCAAAATCTTATTTACATCTTGTGTTGAATTACTCATTCTTTCTTCAATATTAAATCCGATTAATCTCATACTCGATTCATTGATTCATCAGTCAAAGTGTTTGGATTTTCGATAAGTGACGATGAGTCATGTGTATATGTCAAAGCTAGTGGGAGTACAATTAGCTTTCTCCTATTGTATGTGGTTGGCGTACTGCTCATAGGAGACAACATTCCCACCTTGCAGGAGGTTAAGTCCTTGCTTGGGAAGTGTTCGCCTATGATGGACCTTAGAGAAGCTACCTACATTCTAGGGATAAGGATATTGAGAAACAAGAGTAAAATACTAACAAGACTTAGTCAAAGCACCTACTTGGATAAGGTGTTGAAACGTTTCAGTATGGAGAATTCCAAGAAGGCAGACTTACCTGTCCAGAGCAATACCAAACTGAGTAAGACTCAGAGTTCCAGTATAGAGGCTGAGCTAGCAGAAATGAGTCGAATACCATATGCTTATGTAGTTGGCTCGATCATGTATTCTATGGCATGTAATCGCCTTGATGTAGCTTTTGCTTTGAGCATGGTGAGCAGATATCAAGGGAACCCTGGTATAACTCACTGGACTATTGTAAAGAGCATTCTTAAGTACATGCGGAGGACTATGGAATGGGTCCTTACCCTCGGTGGGAATGATGACTTGAGAGTGACATGGTACCGTGACGCCAACTTTCATACCGACAATGACAATTTCCGCTCTCAGTTGGACCAGGTATTTACCCCTAATGAAGGAGCAATAACGTGGAAAAGTTCCGAATAGGAAAATGTGGCTGATTCAACATGTGAATTAGAGTACATAGTAGCAAGTGAAGCAGAAAATGAGGCAATATGGCTGAAGAACTTTATTGGGGACCTTGGAGTTGTACCATCTATAGAGGAGCCTATATATATTTTCTGTGACAAAGAAAGTACAATTGACTTAGCCAAGGAACCAAGGGATCATGGAAGATCCAGACACATCGACATAAAATATCACTTTATAACACATCAAGTAGAAGAATGACTACTTGTAGTGAAGACGATATCGTTAGAGAAGAACCCAACAAATCCCCTTACAAAGGGACTCAGCAGGGAGAAGCACTTGCTGCATGCAAGGAGTATTGGGTTGAAGGATGATATTAGTTTTAATGATCAAATAGATATTAAGAAACTTGTAATAGCTAAAATGTAATTGAATTTTGATGATTGAATAAAAAGGAGTTTTATTTATAAGTAAAGATACTGTCCTGTGTCAATTATTTACTTTTGTTTCATTTTTCATGTTTGGACTTCCACAATTATAGTTGATTATACTTTGGAAGTAGGTTATGTAAGTAGACTATCATGAACGAGTTTTGTAAGACTGTCTAAGAAGTTACACATTGCCAAGATATGCTACAACATTCATGAGTATTCTTGAAATAAGATTTGAGTATCAGATCAACCCACACTCACACGAATCACTTCATGGAATTTATCACGAGTGTTTGTGAGATGACAATATTGCATAATCTTCAAACCAAGATATATGAGTTGCCAATTATGAGTTGTTTGTACATTGATAGTGCAAAAACGCATCAATAACTTGATGTTATAAAACGTGTTGTTGTGTATGATTTAACTAATAGTTAGTACAAGAATATAAGTCGAATTTTATCTGTTCCTTGTGTGCTAGGACCGGTCAGAGCTAAATTGATGTGTTCAGCTACGTTCTATGTAAAAAGAATAGAAATCGAGAAACAAACTGCTTCACAATAAGTATGATTATTTTCCATATATTTTTCTTGATGATATCTTGAAGAATAGAGGATTAAATGATCCCTTATCTAAATGACGCATCAGATCTCGTCATTGGCTTTTAGAGAGCTAAGTTTTCTACTTGGATTTTGAAGCTACATTGGCGATTATAGTTAGTAGACTTATCCAAGTGGGAGACTATTGGATTAGGTGTCTAAGCGCATAACTATAATCGGTATGTACTTGACCCGATAATAGCATGGTCCATTTGGGTTGTAACACTCTGGAATAATTTAATACGTTGGATACTTTGAAGAAAAGGTTATTTTGATTTATTAATATATTATAAGTATAATATATTAATTGATCAATAATTAAGTTGGTATTAATTTAGTGATCAAAAGAAACTAATTAAAGTTATAGGGACTGATTAGATAAATCAATAATACTTCTAGTTGGGCTCATGACTCATGTTGATTAGATTTGGACTAAACCTATGTGACTGTCCAAAAAGTTTAGCCCAAAAGACTAAGAAATATGAAGAGTCATTAGGGTTTGCATGGTTGTAATCCTAATCTATAAAATAAGTCCCTAACACCCCAAAAGCGACTCCCTATGCACACTAGAGTGGTAGCCAGCCGATTTTGATCTCCCACAC